CTTGAGGACAATACTCAAATCCACTCTTGCCATCAACCAGTAACTTCCTCTTCTCGTTTTATCTTTTAATACTGACCCTCTAACTTTTCATTCTCAAAAAGACTCAAGCCCTAAAATAAAAACTTCAAAAATACACACAAAAGAGTTTAAGTTGCCTGGTTCCAAATCGTAAATCTCCAATATCAAAGCATTTAATTCGTCCGCGGCGCCTCTTCCACGAAAGAGCGTAACTGCATTTCAACGCTGCCACATTTCTCCTAGCTAATTGCATTTTTACCAGGAGATTCTTGGCAATTTCTAGCTGAATATTTCACTAATTTTTCTTCTGAGTTCATGCAAAAATCAGAAACATTTTCAACGAAAATAATTATGCAGGTTTATTCTCAATAACGATGAATTATTCAAGTCAATTTTGAAACCTTGGAATGGAGTTACGCCGGAACGACGGAATCGACATGATTACTTAAGATTTAAAAAGAGTCGATTAGTGCAGTTTTCGCAGTTTTCTTGAATTTTAATATCTGGCGCTTCGGTCTTTTCAAGAATTACCGTTTCTATTTCTGCATGCAGAGTACAACGAACTCGGCTGCAATAGCAATTCTCTCAAGTTGACAACAATACTGCCGTGTTAAGGAAAAACGCCGTACGAACCTTCAGACATTGCCAGGTTTCCCTCGATAAAAACCGAATTTACCGGGAAATTGTGAATATTTTTTCCAAAATTTTCACGCAATTTCGTACGCAATTTAATCTAAAATATCTGAAGAATTCAAAGAAAAATGTCCATGAATATCGTCGAAAATACATGTTTTATAGAGGAAAATTTGGCAACTCTCAAATGTTCATACGGCGTTCTTCCTTAGCTCGGCAGAATAGGTCTCGTTGATTTAACAACGTGAAAACAATCGATATTCATCAGGGTAGGCTGCTTCGTCTAGAATCGATTCGTTACCATGGGTAAAAACGGAAGAAATTCATTGTTTCCAACCAGCGGGAACCGCCAATAGTCGGAAGTAGACGAACTATACAACTTTTCCGCCGCAGCTGGAACTGAAATTGCATTCTGTTTTATTGCAGCCGATCGATACAGGCACGAGAACTTCGCCAGTGCAGTTCCTGCGCCAAGTGAGCGTGATGAGTAAAGTCACGAAGAAGGGGGGGGGNGAAGAGGGGGGGGGGGAGTGGTTCATCATTTCTTAGGAGGAAAAGGAGTCATTTAAACCCGTCGATTCGGAAACAATGCCTCGAGTTTTCTCCGATTATATCCGAGGATGCCCTGGGGGTAATAATACAGTAGCACGTGTTATCGGATCGGGATTAGATGTTTCCACGAGCATGGCTGGAAATTTTTCCGGAAAGAGGGAGGAGGCAGCCCCCCCCCCCCCCCCNATTGGGGCTCCAGTCTCGCTACCCTTCCTGCCGCGGTGGAAAAAAAAATCGATACAAATTTGGTTACGTTACGTTCGTATTTTCCACTTCTACCAATCTTGTGCTTGTACCTCAACTAACTCAGCGATCCTTTAAGGAAAACAATAGTCGTCTACTGCCGTGCTAAGGAAGAACGCCGTATGAACATTCGAAAGTTGCCAAATTTCCCTCGATAAAATGTTTATTTTTAAGGAAAGTTACGAATATTTTTCATTTAAATTTTCAGAACCTTCAGGTGAAATTGCGAAGAAACTTATTTGAAAAACTGGGGAAAAAAATATTCATAAGTTTATCAGGCAATTTGCGTTTTATCAAAGGAAATTTGGCAACACTTGAAGGTTTATACGGCGTTCTTCCTTAGCACGGCAGCGTTTACCGTCGAGATTCTAACTTTGGGGTGCGCCCAAAATGTTTACAAAACATCGGCTTGTTTTCTATACGATTCGCTCAATACGTTGCTTATCATTCGATGAAAAGGTGATTCGAAAAGTTAAGCGATGAATCTCTAAAATTTTGAGTTTCTAGTTACCCGTATGAAGCTAGCGGAGGATTTTTATATTGACGGTGAAACTACCAGCAGTCCGATTATAGAAATTGATAGACAAAGCTATAGACAGAGAAGACAAAAGAGATATAAAGGGCTCCTATTGGTGGAAGCGGATGGTTGAGCAATGGACAAATCAGGTAGGTAATATACTAAGTAACGGCAATCTAGGAGGGACCCGAAAGTTAGTCCATCATTTCCTCTCCTAGTCTATAGGAACCACCCATTTCAACCTATGGGATAGCTCCATACTCCCTATGTTTTTTTTGTCTATCGCCATGTTTATCAATTTCAATAATCGGCCGGCAGACCAAGTATCTTTGCGACGTTGCAGACTTTCTGTCATATTTTATTTTTCAAATGGAAGAATACTCTGCGTTTATCCTTGAAAACTTCCTCGTGTTTCCTCTCCGTGCGAAGAAAACTCTGCGAAAACTTCGATGAATGATATTGATTAGTTCTCCTTTGAAAAAATAAAACAGGAGTGGAGATTTTTAATTACAAGAAACGAAATTAGTGGTCTGGTACTTTCATCGTCGATATGTCTCTAGTCTCCTCCCGAATTAAAATAAACCCCAAAAATACGTACATATAATTATTGAGCTTTAAGACTAATCGTCTTTTACGACCTATTTTAATTCCTGAAGTTCGGCACTTTCCGAGCAAAAAATTCCCTCTGGAGGTGCCCTTTTGGCGAAGACGTTTATATGCTGCTCACGTCTACCCGAGAAAATATAATCCGGCCAATTAATTGGACAAAGTGTGAACCGCGAAAGACAAAACTTCCGCCCGGTCTCCCGCCGTGGCGAAACTCTAATTGAAAAATTACTTACGAGGCGGTGTAGCGCCGCCCGGTGCAAGAACCACTTAACTCGCATTGAATCTCTGAGAGTCGAACGCTGCTTCTGCCCAACACGTCGGAACAGCAGGGCGCGCTATAACCTAACCACAGCTGACTTTACGTAACTTGAATTATAACAAAGTTTGTGCGGCTCCTGAACTTCCCAAAATTTCTCGGAGCCTCCGCTTCTTTGACGTCCTATCAAGGATCTTAAAATCTCTTTCTTTCGGTTCTTCCAAGTCTCCGGGCCCCAAAATGATAAGTCTCCTCGAACTTCAGCCAACATCAAGAGTACCTGCGACTTGCTCAACTACTGAAATCACCGGAAGTTTACACAGAGGAAACTAGAAACCGTTTTAAATAAGAGTGCCCCTTCTGAGAGGACGTTGGTGCCCCACCTAGTTTAAAATTTCCGTGTTTATGATTATCTTAGGTTACTTTTACTCAGTCAAATTGACCAAAGGACTTTGTGGATTGATTAAATTTTTGGTTGAATCAACCAAGGCTGTGGATTTCTCTGAAATATTAGGGAATGAGGACAGTGGCGTGGCATGAATAATGGACTGTCGATATCTCTCCATTTGAAGCTATGGTAAAGAATCGCTTATTAAGGTGTTCGTTGCAAACAACCTGTCTATCGATCCTTTTCCATTGGTTTAAATGACAGATCAATCGAAATATCGCTAATCATGCCACGCGACTGAATGAGGAATGAGTCCTAGTGAGCTAATGCACTCTTGTTCCTCTTGATATCGCTTAAAGCTTGAGTTGCGAACGGCTATAGAACACCGGAGTATCACCAAATCAATAGGATGGGATCAAGATTTGAACCTCCATTTTTAACCAACAAATTCGGTCGATTCAATCAACAATTTTCCTAAATACACAGGAAAATGAGTAACTAAGGATTAAGAACGCCAAACACAAAGCTTTTTTACGGTATCACGAGTAGGAATCTGAGAGTCTTAATTTTTATAATTCTATATTTTTTTTTGTTTCTTGGTAGAGGAGGGGGGTTGAAACCACCCTAAAACGTTCCAGACTTTGTGCACCTAAGTTGCGGTGATCGCGATGAGTTGTGATTTGATGGGAGAATTGAAAGCGATTTTATCGACGTATTTTGTCGGATAAAAAATTGCGCTAAACTGCAATTTTATTGTATGAATTTGCGACAAAGGCACGATTCTATCGACGGCGATTTATCGCAATATTATCGAAAATAATCGTGATAAATTGAGATACAATTCAGATTTTATCGAATGCAATTTTATAGAAATAAAATTTCAACAAGATCGAGGATGATCGCTCAGATTTTAATAATCCTGACGATTTTATCGCCCAGGAATCGTAAAAAAACCGTAACTTAATTCCAAATATTGCGTATTTTCCGTTGTTAAAACTACTGGGGGTAGAAGTGACTTTGAATACATACATCTATCCATCTTAGTCAATTTCTTCACCTCAAATTGGCTTCAATCATGAGTGGCAGACCTTCTCTCCACACTGAAAAAAAGTATCACGATCTCAAGTATACCTCTGGCTGATTTTGGCGCCAACCATAAGAGTAGTTGCACCTGCTAGAAGTCTAAAAACACCAGCCAGCGGTATAGTTAATCAAACCACACATTTAAGCGACTTAACTATACCTCTGGATTGTGCAACTACTCTTAATATGTGTCGCTAAAATCAGCTAGGAGTATAGTTGGGATTGTGATACTTTTTTTCCGTGCATCTAAAGGAAAATGCAAGTAGAATAAGACACATTAGGGGATCTCTGTGACTATCAAGCGAGAAAATCAAGTATTGGCGACAACCGAGAGCCCCGGATGAAAACAAAGAGATCAGCGACGATCAAATATTTACTCTATCGTGGAACCCGAACCAAAGTAGCCGGAGGCGGCGGCGAGGCAACGCGGCGGCAAGATCAGCGGGTTGCAGATGCCGGGAACTGCAGGCGCTGAGAAGGGGTATATCGATGAACCCAGTGGCACAGTTTCCGCCGCCTTTTCTTGACACGGATACGTCTGCCGATGAATGGGGACTGGCCGGCGCGGTAGGTGGGGTAGGGGGGCGACGGCGGGAGCTAAGGGTGGTGGTGGATTGGGAGAAGGGGTAGAATGCACCGACTGCGCGCGCAGCTCCGCGAGGGGTGGGGGGTATATTGATCCAGCCGCCAGCCCTGCACAAACCTGGCACATTCCGCACTGCAACCCGGTGTGCGAAATCGGCACGAATCAGGAGTCGTATCTACCTGTCTACAAACTCCCAAGTTGTCGTGGTCAGTGCCCATTGCTTACCTTCAAATTTATTGGGTGCAAGAGTTACGGCTTTCTTTCGTCGATAAATGTTGACGCGGTATTTCGGGAGTGATTCCGGCACAGTTTTCGGGCGCGATCCACGCTTCGCCTTCCTCGTGCTCAAATTCAAGTACAAAGTGTGATTCCCCGTCTGTGATCCACCCAAAAAAGTTCCATTTCCGTTCCGCTCAAGCAGTCTTCCACGGTGAAAGAGAACCGCCCTTTCGAAAGGATGTCACGGAATATTTTTCCACGAGATTGAATTGTTATTTCGAGGACAAGTTTGACGTTCTGTAAGCATTGCCTTAAATTGACCGCACAAATAGCGTTAGAATTTTAACTTAACTCTGGATGGATTGTGGAATTGTTATGACTTCCTATACATCGTGACCAGCAGCAGAAGTCAGGACAATATGTTTCCAAGGAGCGTTTACAAACATTCGCCCGCACTCTTTCTTACTGCTCTTTCTAAAAACATTGATCCTTCCCACAAAGACCCGCAAAGTTACCGCAGTTAATTGTTCTTTATATTCGATTCAAATCATTGCTCAACTTAGGTTCGCCTAAAACCAAAATTGTGTCTTCGTCAGGAGTTAATAAACCATCGCTTGAAAAAGTTTAATTTTAGTACGTCGATTAGCTAAATTGATTTTCATTTAAAATGGAAATGGTTTTGTTATTGAGGACTGACAGCAAGAGAAATCATAATACTAACATTTTAGTGAACCATAATAGTGAGCTGTACGCTAAAATCAACACCTAATAAACCTCATTAAAACAACACACATACTCTCGCGGATGAAACACACTTATTGTGATATTTTCTAATGACAGGTGCACTAGTCGCTTAGCCTGGATCTTTGCAGTAAGTGTATTTGATGTATTATTGCAAAGGATAATCCTCACAGAGATTTACCTTCAAATCGTCGAAGGATTTATATTTTCAAAGTGAAACTCAATCGAATTATTGTAAGTAACCGACAAAATTGGTTGCCCTTCATAACAGTTTTTATCCCTTTTTTTTTACAAAATAAAGCTATTGATAAAAATGGTTGGTCTCCTGCTAAGATTTAAAATTAGTATTTATCTACTGCTTAGTAACACCTTTAAGGAGAATTAATGCCTCAATTTGAACAACTTTTTCACATATTTACGGCAATGGAATCAAACGCTGAGTCTTGTGACATCATCTTGAGCTTGAGCCTTGAAGCAAAGTCTGAATATATTTTGGCCAATGGGAGTTGCCAGTGAGCACTGAAGCCGGAGCCGTGCGTGTGTTTTGATCCACTGGAAGAATGGGGAAGAAGAAAGTGGCCGAGGAGGACCTAATGGTGCCGCCGCAAGACGGTAAAATCTGCGGGACGATCTGCCTCTGCCAGATGACAGCGGTGCTGAGCAGCGTGGCGCTGGTCTACCTCACGGTGGCCATCTACATGCCGTCGATGCGAGCCTTCCAGTCGGGGATCTCGGAAGTGCCGGCGATGTGCACGACGACGAGAGCCGTCACCAAGGACACCTGCGACTGGGGCTCCTGCGGGGAGTGGTGCCTGAGCAAAACCTCCGGGGCCTGCATCCAGATCTACGTGAACCTCCGGCACAACGGCTCCAACATCCAGTACGCCAACTGCACCAACAGCGCCAACAAGACCTGCTACGGGATCGACCAGGAGAACGCGAAGAAGTACCGGTGCATCGCGGACGAGTGCAAGAACCTCACGGGGACGTTCAACTGCACGATGGGGATGTGCATCAACATCACGGACGCCTTCGAGTGCGTGTTCCAGGAGACGGAGCCGCCGCTCAAGTGCAGCGGGAAGCGCGGGAAGATCACCTGCATCGAGCTGCACGGGCTCCAGTCCTGCACGCGCGGGACCTGCGGGCGCATCAAGTCCCCGTACAACTGCGACCGGCGCTGCGTGGACATCCCGACCCGGAACAAGAACGTCATTATCCTGAGCGGCGACCGCGTCTTCCTCTCGCAGTGCCAGAGGGCGCTCCTGGCCGGGAGCGAGCAGGAGATCTGGAGCCAGGATCAGGACGACGTCTTCATGTCCTCGTGCTACTCCATCGAGACGACCGAGGACGGGATGGAGGCCAGCGACTGCATCAACGGCTCCACGCTCGAGAAGTCCTACCTCACCGACCTCACCAACTTCACCTACCTCAACTTCTTGAGCGTGACCAGTACCAAGATCCTCGACGAGAGCCGGCAGATCGCGCCGCCGGAGGAGGACCTCATCCTGGCCAACGAGTCCCGGCTCTTGGTCAACCTGGAGGGCTGCGTCAACACGCTCCGGGACGAGTGTCGCGAGTTCCTCAAGGAGTACGGCAAGGACGGCACCGACCACAACGCCCGCGCCAGGTTCCCGTGCTTCTACGCGGATCACAACCGAGATACCGTCGTGGCGCGCTTCAATCTGGCTATTACTTTCCGCGAGTTCGTCATCGGCTCCACCGTTCCGTCGGTTCTCTTCGTCGTCAGTTGTCTCACGCTCATGCTCTGTCAGAGGACCGTCGAGGTGGGCGACGACTCCAAGATGCGCTTCAAGAAGAAGGCGGCTGCCATCATTCCGGGGGTTGTCGCCGATGACATCACGCCCGGCGATGCAGGGGGAGGAGCCCACGCAATGGCTCTCTGAGATCCGCTTCGTAAGAATTCCTACATTTTAGCTCTGTGTACTCCATGTGCTTCAAATATCAACGAAAAAAAAAGTTGCTCAAGTAACATCCCGGGTCTTAAAAATCTGCGCCACCACTCTTGAATGTTGTTATGAATACTCTGGCCGTTAAAGTAACATCCTAGCGACGTTGAATTAACAACCGTAGTGTTCACATCAACATTCAAGAGTTGTCACGCAGATTTTTAACATCCGGGACGTTACTTCAGCAATTTTTTTTTTTTTTTTCGGAAAATTCGGAAAATTGGACGTATTTATGCAAAGGGAACCATAGCCGGGTTGGAAAGAAGGAGTATGCTCGTTTAGTTGAGGGGCGTAAGAACGAATGGAAATTATTAAGCTCCCGTGACGTCAGCGGTGATGACACAACGACGCACTCGACAGTTGTGCGCTTTAATTCATGAGCCCTGTCCACAACGTTCTTGTCACATGCCCACGGCTCATGAGTTAGCATATTTTTCTTCTTAGTTCCATTTGATTTCAAGTAAAATCCCCTCTTATCAATTTTCTCAAAAGGAATCACGCCAACTTTAACATTGTGTCTTACCCAGCTCTCTACGGCACACCCCATCTTTCCCAAACGTCTCTGGTTCCTTTTAACATACATGCGCCATGCGTCTGATTAAATCTATCGTGCTGATCAAAAACGCCGGATGATCTTTCAACATTCCCTTCGATGAAACAAACATTTCCTGGTAAACTCATAAAACATGTTTCTTCCAATTTTTCCGATAATTTTGTTCGAAATTTAACCTAAATTATCTGGTGATGTCAAGAGGAAATATTCATAGCTCTGCTCAACAATGATCAATTCATAAGAGAACATATGGAAACTCACGAATTATCATACGGCGTTCTTTCTTAGAACGGCAAAAATAGCTGTGCGAGCCCTACAGAGAAGAAAAAATAAACCAAACGAAACAAACTCTAGTTCACACATGGCTTACCAAAGTTTTTAAAACCGGTAATCGAAGTTTTTTGGCATGGAAACCGAGTCTACATTTTGGCAACCAACTTTTTTGGTAATAATACTAAGGCATGAATATTTGTACCGAACACATCGGTCACGTAGATTTCCTTTATTTTAGTTTCTATGATCGGAAACTTCCGTTACCTGAACTGAAAACTTTAATGTGCCAGAAGTACAAAAGATAAGTTATTGTGGGTGATGTTTTTTTTCTTCTTCGGGTATCATAAAAACTAGATCGACAGCTCGTCAATGGCGTTGATTTCATTGTTGTAACAATGGAACAGCGCGAATGATCGATTATCGATATTTTCCGATTTGAAACTATGGTAAAAAATCAATTATCAAAGTGTTAGTTGCTAACATCCTATTTATCGATCCTTTCTCATAAACTTACATGGCAGATCAATCGATTTCTCGCAAAGCACGCCACGTCATTGGATTGTATACTTGGAAATAAGGTACCGTCGATCAAAGTCAATCGACAATCTAGTCAGCTTAGAAAGGCAACTAAATTGCCTGACATCGCCCTAAGATTATTGCATACGCAAAAAAACTTCCAATGAGTCGCAGCAGTTACTAGTCGAAATACTCTGCGATTATTTGGGCTTCGTGGCTGTAGGAAACGGTAGACCGAACGGTACCAAGAGGCGCAAACGTCCAAAAATGCAAAACCCAAAAGTACGAGAAACGCAGCTCAAAAGCGCGCAAACCAATATAAATAAATCATTAAATCCATGATTCTTGTCAACGTCTTAGTTAGGATTTTATGCAAGGAGCTTCAAGTCAGGTACGCTTGAACACTTGGTTTTTTAAGAGCCCGGTCTCCCGGTGCTCTAATTTGATGATTTCGAAGCAATCGAGTGTAAAAGACATTTTTCCTGCAAGCTTCGGGTCCTGCTTACTGGTCTCAAAACTGACGATAAATTTGTGAACTTTTCTGAAAAGACTTTTCCTTGACTACTGACAACTTACTAATATGTTATTTGCGCGCTCGAACGCAAAATTTCTGAAGTATCTATGAAACGACTCCGTCATATTTTTGTGTCCAAGATTGAGGACGCCGTCAAAATTTCTGGAGATAATGAGCAGAAAATTGGATATTTTCCTGAAAAATATTTACCACGCTTCACTATGCTAAAGTTTTGCTACTGAAAGAAGAAAATCGCAGACATTCATTTATGTGCTTGTGATTCTTACAGATTTTTCCATCTCATTTTATTTGTCCTGAACACGAATGGACATAGTTTTTGTTCAAAGTTCCGTGCGATTTTTTAAAGAGTTTTCTTTGAAAATTTCGCACTGAACCGTCAAACATTTATAACTCTTAAACGGGGAAACATATAGGCAAAGAACGGCTTGATAAAGTAAGTCGTAAGGAAGTTTACAAATGGACGTTTTTTTTTTTTTTCAAACGGACCTAAGCGCCGTATGGTGAGGAAGGTAGAGGGGGCTTGGATTGGCGGCGGAACCGAACGCCGGGATCATTCCGTCCTATGCTCTCAATGCTTTTCCATGGCGCCTAGTTCTGTTTGACAGAACGCGCTATCCGGCATTCTAAATTCCCCAATCGGAACTCAAATTGGCGCTTAGTTCCATTTGATAGAAATACGTCCAAATGGTACTCAGATACCTAGATTTTTTGCAATTTCGAGAACCAGCAAACAATTAATAAGTCTCTGGAAAAATTGACAACGCAGGATAAAAATCAGTGATAAATTACTTAATTGGCACAATAGGCAACGCTAGAATTAAGGTAGGAAGAATGAGAAGCAAGCAAAGCTCCCTCAATTAGTGGCTCACGCCACATATACTGGACGAATTTAATTATAACGCCTGAATACAACTAATCGGGCTTCATGAATGTCCGTGTTGCATACACACTGGGGAGAAGGCGTTTTGACCTCCAGGCACTCAGCACTCAGCGTAGCGCTTCACTCGTGGCAAGGCGACGCTGGCGGGCACTGCTAAGATTCAAAAAGACAGAACGCACCTTGTAATTTTCGTTAATACTACAAATACATCTGGTATGCACGAATAATGATGTCTCTAAAAATTACGATCCGCACATTGTGATACTAAAACTGATGCACAACAGATACCCACATCCTACGCCTCTGTCCAACTATTTGTGCCTGGGAGATACCATTGGAGTATAAACGAAGATTTGAAGGTGCTCTGTCATTTTGGATCCTTGCAGTGCAGCCCACCGCCTCTGCGCCCGCGAATGAAGCGACGATTGTCTGGGTCTGGGGAATCAAAACGCCTTCAATTCCGTGCATAAGCAACGTGGGCATCCATGGAGCCCGGATAGTTGCATCCAGGCGTTGATGTGATGCAATTTGGACGTATTTCTACCAAACAGAACTATTTGCATTAAGACATGAGCCCTGAGACCCATAAAAATATATGCATGACAGGGCTCAAGTCATAATGCACATAGTTCCGTTTGATAGAAATACGTCCATTTGTTCAGTGTTCATCACATGCATCATCAACTGAAGGCGCTGCGCTTGCTTTTCTGGCGCTACTAAGCAATATGTAACTAGTTAGTTAGTTATTATAATTTTAAGACATTCAGCGTCTCAGGCTATTAATGTCTTTACAGATAATTTTGAAAATGGGATGCGCGAGTCTGAATTTTGCTTAGTGTACGATTAAGAAAATAAAGTATGAGAAAACGTCTAATGAAGTTAGGCTGATCTTGATAAGTTTTTCAAACTACTCGTTCATTATAGCTCTTTTTTGGAAGTCGTTTAACTTGGATTGATTTTCACGAACCCAATTTTGATCATTTGGTCTGGTCTGTTTCAGGCATTCCTCTCTTGGAAGACAGCCCAACTCATCATCAGTGACTTCCTACAATCTCACAAGAACAACAACAACAACAACAACAACTGGAGGTCAACGATAGGGCTGCAATATACACTCGCACACTCGGGGGCAAAAATAGAAAAATATTCAAACTCGTTCTAACACATTAATTGGAAATAACTCGACAGACGACTAAATTTTCCGAACACCAAATTGTATAGTTCTACGCTAAATCTAAACATTTTTAATCATCACGAACCCAAGCTTGGCCTACTCACTTCTGTAATTACTCCGAATCAGTTTTCTTCGCATCGTTACACTCGCGCTGTAGCACAGCAAGCTTTACCGTAGTGTGCGCACGTATCATTTATCGCTTTTACGAGAGAGGATTGCGTTAAATTAATTACTTTAAACCAAATAGACTAATTAAATCAATTCATAAAATCAAAATTTGGGACATAATTGCGTCAATTGAACAGCACTGAAACTGTCAAAAAGTTAGTCAGTCTAGACATACATAAAAGAGAGCACATTCAGTCTCGTTAAATTAGGAATTTCATAAGCAATCTTATAATTTAGTGTTAGTTAATAACCCAATTGTGATTAATTTTAGAAATTAACGCATTGATTTTTTAATCGTTACACCACTCAAGAAGATTGAGTCTTAATTATACCAAAGTTCGTAACGCTTAGAATTTCCGGTAACTTTTACCTGTACACAATATTGTAACTTAACGCTCAACATAAAATATTCAAACAGAGATACATCCATTACCCGATTCTCTAAACAATCAAAATAATATGTGCAAATCGTTATTGAAGTAGAGTAATCAATGTCCCCTCTTCCTCCAATGTCATTTAGTCCGTAGTATAATGATATGCGTGTTGTAATTTACCACGCTTGCTTTTACCGATCACATCATTAACTTTGAAAGTAAACCGATATGTTGAAAAACCATCGCAAATTCGAGAGCTATCTGTGAAATTCCACGTACCAAAAAGACTGACAGAGATGTAAATAAATTTAAATGTCTCTAGCCGCTCACTTGAAACTGCACAAAATGCGTCACACTTATCTAATGAGCCGTGACAGGTCAAACTTCAAGACCTGACATTGAGGAAGGCGACCTAGAGACGAAATTTACTCGCAATCACCTCTCTGCAGAGAATTCTTGCAAAAACTACCTGTGATAAAACCGAATCCATGATCAAAAAGGCTTCGGTTACTGATTGTTGAGCTGGCGGACACGGATACTGTGGTCGTCATGGGAGAGGAAAGTGCTGGTGATGGCGAAGGCGACAAGCAGCAGCTTCTCGCTGAAATGACGCTTCTTGCTAAGATTAAATTCTACACATCTCTCTTCCTAGGTAACTACCCCGCTTTTCAATGGAGAATGGAGATAATGCATGTGTAAGAAATTTGAGATTTGACTATTGATTCTTACGTAAAAGTTAGCAGGGTTCAGTTTTAGAGTCCCCAAATAAAGTGGCAGCCCTGTCAATGTATTTGCTCCCTATCTTCGCATGGAGAGTTTGTCTTGATGTAGAGGTGGACTCTCAGGATAGCGTGAGATATCCCCTCCATTACAGCCTCTACTTTGAGAGTGTTTTTGAGCTTCGGAGTTGATTTCAAAGGAAATCAGTTGGACCCTCGTGTTTCTCGCGAACTTTTACATAAGAATCAATAGTCAAATCGCAAATTTCTCACACATGCAACATCTTCATTTGTAGAGTGAATGATATAAAAAAGAGAAAATCCACCACCTTATGACGTCATCAGGCTGCATTTCCGATTTGAACACATGTATTTTAGTAGATCAGGTCATTTGATCATATCTCCTCTGATCAATTGTTCATTTTAGAAACCGATGATATTCTAAAACTCAGTTCACTCAGTAGTTTCTTTTTTAACATGAAATTAAGAAAATTTCAGACCCCTGCAAATTTTCCATTATTTTCTTTTTGTTAATTAATTTTATCATTTACGTAAAGCCATCACATCTTTATCTTAACAACGTGATTCATGATAAAAAGAAATGCCATTCCTTTGGCCAATGAATTTTAGTTTTTAATTTGGTATTGGTGCTTTGTAGATCTGGCACGACCATGAAAATTCATTTCTTGATTGATAGTGATGAGGTGCATAAAATAAATTGACGGTTTAAAAACAGTTTTTGAACGAAGAGTTTTCAAAATTATGATTGTGACCTCCGATGAAAAAATGAGAAATAAGTCTATAAAATCTAAAAATTAAATCATATTGATTGATACCTATCAAGAGCATGAGCGGGGATTTTGTTTTGTTGTCTCCGCAAAGAAGACAAAATGGATATGGAGGGATCCTATTGGTGGAAGCGGGTGGTTGCAATGGACAAAGGAAGTAGGTAATAGACTAACGAACAGCAACCTACGAGAGACCCTAGAGTTAGTCCATCATTTACCCCCTCCGGCTATAAGAACCAGGCATTTCAACGAGTAGAATCTCTCCGTACTCCCCACGTCTTCTTCGTCTATCGCTTTGCCTATCCAACTCAATAATAAGTCCGCTAATTGTTAAAGCGGGGTCTTTAGGATAAATTGTCTCTGGCAGATGCGAGCTTTTCACCTTTAGCCGTCCGTTTATTCCTCGGGCGGAAATTCGTTTTGCTTTTAGGGCTGATTGTAATGATGGATCTATTCACGGTTATCTATTCATGGTTTCAGGGACGACGGCGATTCTATCGGTTTTCGCGTTTCTGTTCCTGATCCCGTTCGTGGTAGACCCGGCGATCTCGACGATCTTGGCCGACTACGACCCGGAACCAATTACGTGCATGGTCACCGAGACTGTCTACGCGGAGGGTCTCAGCAACTGCACGTGGGCTTCCTGCCGCGAGGGCTGCACCGCCCCGCAGACCCGCTGCCACCAGATCTTCGTCAACTACTCCGTCCTCCACTACCACGAGTTTCGCAACAAAGTAAGCCACCATGAAAAACAGAAAAAAGAAAACAAGGAGAAGAAACAGACGAGAGCTTCTCAAAAAACTCACCAAAAAAAGTCGAGTTGATTGAACATTCTGCATGTTGAAAAAGTGTGCGAGAACTCACAGAATGTTAAATTACCCGCAACGGTAGTTAGTTTTACATCTTAACACTGCTGAAGTAACTTCTGTAGCAGTTAATTCAGCATTTTCTAAGTTCTTGCATAATTTTTTTACATCCAGAATGATAAATCAACTTCACTTTTCTTTCACTTTTTTTAGTGTGTTTCATTCATGACAAAATCGACTTGAAATCGGACTAAGGCCGCAGAATTAAAAGCATAAAAAAACCGGGACGTTTTGCGGTGTCACGACCGCATTTTCAAGCGGTAAAACAAGGAAAATTAAAAATAAACAAACTGAGCCGCGCCGTTGTTACCGCGAGACTGATAATGCAACCAAAATAAATAAAAAAGTGCACTGGATTTTGCATTTTCATTTTTTCGCCGGTTAAAAATGCTTATATACCGCGAAACGTCCCGGACTTTTTAATTCATGTTTTTATTTTTGCGGCCTTAGTCCCATATTGAATTGTTTTTGTATTTGCGTTTCGGGCCGATTTAGTAATATATAAAATACTTAACACTCTGAGATGGAGAAAAGGTATGAGCCTGCGTTAGAACGGGGGTAAGCTGCCGTGCTAAGGATAAACGCCACATGAACATTCGAGAGTTGCCAAATTTCCTTTGATAAAATGTTTATTCTTGACGAAAATTATGAATATTTTTCCTTGAAATTTTCAGGAACTTTAGATCATACTACGAACAAAATCCTCTGAAAAATTGGAAGAAAAATATTCATAAATTTACTGGGAAATTCGTGTTTTATCGAAGGAAACTTGGCAACGTCTGAGGGCTCATACGGCGTTTTTCCTTAGCACGGCAGTAAGGGTGTCAGTGCCAGTGTTGATACTCCATTGGTAAAACACACACACACACACACACACAAAATAGACCGTGTTCAACAGAGAAGAACCAAGCCACATCAGTATGAAAAATTTGTCTGGGCAATTTAATTTTTTACAAGAGAACATTTGTACGGGCTCCTTTGAAAATTTCAAGTAATTTACTTCCTACTTTGCAGAAAATTCACTGAAATTTGCACAAAAATCCGCATAACCATTTTCATATGAAAAGTTAAATTGCACAATCAAATTAGGGAATTGCTAATGTAGCTCGGTTCCTTTCTGCTCAACGCAATCTAAACCCAAAATGTATAATACTCATTTGGTGGACGCTATTTGTGACACAATCATAAAAAATACTTGCTCTAAATACAAGCAAATATTCAAGCGTTTTTCACAATTTGTGAGATCTTATAGGAGCAGGACGTCCGTCAAACGTATAATGCCTACTTGTCAGAGGAGGATCCGGGGTTGTATTAGAAAACGACACAAGGGGGCAAGGGGGGGGCGTGAAAATCCCGAAAAACTGCACTACGCTTCCAACGAGAAAATGATGAAAACTCCCGAGTCCGATTGAAAAGAATATAAATATTAAGATAGTTACTTAATTAATTTACGACGCTCAGTAACCAGGCCATTTACAAGGAATATACAAAAGTAAAACAAAACGCGTGACTATAGTTCACCAGCAACCGAATGAAACTTGTGACGCCATTGACACTAAATTTAAAAGTAATTTTTTTATGAATCCACCAACAACTCGATTTAAAATCGACGTGGAATGAGTCGGCAATGAAAGTAGATACAAAATTTCGACATTTTAAAAAACCAAGTGATGCAGCAAAAGTTTGGATTTTGGATCGTCAAAAGCTTCAATTATTTTGACGATTTTAACGTCGTGTGTAGAAAATCCTGGATTTCGAATAATAACAAATCATGCTGATTTTTGCCTACTTTGAAGATTTTGAAATTATTTACCCTAAAAAATTGTGAAAACAAAGTCTTGACATTTTATTTTCTCTTTAATTCTTCTTCTTTTTCTTCGTCTTCTTTTTTTTAATTTGGGGACAATGAGGTGACCAGTGACCATTGTAATTAGAATATTTTCCAAATAAATCCAATGGCTCTATCTCTCTCTATCTCTTTACATGAAGTTACTGGATTCCTAATTGTTTAATGACTCGTACAGGCGCGTTCAGTAAAAATTTTTAAAATAAAATATACCATATCATTATAATTTTTTTTTTTTTTTTTTTTTTTTTTTTTTTTTTTTTTTTTTTTTTTTTTTTTTTTTTTTTTTTTTTTTTTTTTTGAGGTCTCTCTCTTCTACTTGTTTAAAATAATTTTTAACAGTTTTCTTTCCATGTTTCAGGGAATCACGAACCTCGAGGGATTCCATTGGGATGTAGCAGATCGGAAATTTCTCATAAACACTGAGGGCTGTGGCTACCCGCCGAGAGTTAACTGTTCAGTTTTTGTGAAAGAGTACGGTCCTGCGCATATTGGAAAGATATTCCCTTGCTACTACAGCCGTGCCTATTCAGAACATGTGAGTTTTTTTCAGTGACCGGGCTCCTCTCTTGAACAGATTAGTTTTTTCAGCAATTCGTTTAACGGTGATTCCACGTGTCATTCGTAGTTACAGTTGAAATTTCAGTCTAATCATGTTAAAATGCACGGCAAAAAACCAAAGCAGCATCACTTCAAACGAAAAAAATAGACAGCCTCAGACGTGGGTGTTTTTAATATACAGAGTTGATCCGTAGGTTGAAGTATGTGAGTCACACACTAGCGAGATAAAACGGTTTATGCTAACGGTGTGCTCACGCAACATTTACAAGATTAAAAGAAAAACAATTTAAAATTGTGACCATAGATGCTTTTATACGTGAAGGGTGGTTAAAAATTGTGGTTTTTGGTACGTACGCGAGAACAATTAAAATCGAAGACGATCATTTTAAATCAGTGCTCATATTGGTTATTGAATCAATTCATGCAGACTTTTCAAACTACCGCATGTTACCATAGAATATCATAAACCTACTACCAACCTCATAGAGGTCGAGATTTAGTGCGTAGGTTATTTCAAGTACCTTTTATCGTCCTGCGTAGCACGGCGCGGTGGTCCGGTATCATTCTTCCCGTGATAATAATGCCCAGAATGCACCATTCTAGAGACAAATGTAATCCTCTTCTTCAGCTTGCAGAATTCTGCGATAGAAGGTATCTTGTTTGGCTAAACTTTATTGGAATCGGAAACATGGACCAAATCAATGCATGAAATTACGATTTGCTGGCATGCATTTCCATGACTGGAGCCTTATAATGCGAATCAGCAATTGAGAGATCTCGGATCTTTGATAACCAATCTCACAACAGACGCATTCAGCCCTTTTTCATACAATTTTCTGTGAATTTAATTTTTTCTCATTCAAAGATATTCACAGAAAATTTAAGGAGATATTTTTGTCGGTTTCTTTCAAAAAATTGAAAAACATCATTACAGATCTTTAAACGTTGAAATGGATATGCTCGTTTCTCGTCTTTAGAAATCAATACTTTACGAGTAAGTTAGTTTTAATTTTTCGTCAGCTTCAGAGAAAAATATGTATGAATCCTGCATTAAGAAGGTTTCTGAGAAACATTTTTCGTGAACAGTTTTTCAAATGTTCACACTATTTATCATGGCCTAGAATTGATACTAGAATTTAGAGACACAGTATTATCATCACGTCATCCCTATCGGTACTTAAACTCTGAACTTAATTCTTAATTCTCTTAAACTTAATTCTGAGAAACATTAATTATCATATTTCAAGAGGTGACAAATTATTTGTAGCAAATTTTTCCTTTTAGAGACATGATTTATAGATACAACTTAAAAAATTGTTACTCTGAGAGGCGAATTTTTGGGTCGTATACTGCGGTCTCTTTTACAAATGAGAGTTTCTGTTCCACAAAAGTGAGCCCCGACGGTCATGACATGATATCAACTTCTTTGTGCCTGGATTGATCAGAAACACGCTTTATACCCACTTTCATTGATTTTACAATTATCTGTAAAAAAAGTAGCTTGGATTTAGAGTCCAAACTTTTAATAATATTGACATGAAAAAATACTATTGATTCAATCCGACTTTTTCTTGAATTGAAGAGCCAAGCTTATTGATTTTGGCGGATTTCTTTTTGATTCAAGCAAAAATTCTGATTGAATCGAGACTATTTTTTCTTGTCAATGTTTTTAAGAGTCTAAACTCTAGATCCTAGCGTCTTTTTTCCAGTGTTAGCTCAGCAAAGTTTTGTTGAGCAAACACTCTGAACAATGTATCTTCGTGCTTAAATTAGTGAAACTCATACTAAATTCTACATTCCGATTCAGGTTGTGCTGAGGTACAGCTGGGACGATAATTTAAGGCATCTCATTTTATCTCTCGCTGTGCCTAATTTGCTGTTCGGGATCTCAACGGGGGTCCTAAGTTACTGGTACTGCCCTAGATGTACTTCGCAACCCACTTACGTTGAAGAGTTCTCCAATAAGGACGAGTGAGTAGTGCCTGAACATACACCTTACCTTTATTTCAAAGAAATACCGATGTCGAAATCTTAATCCTAAATTGCCGAACAATATTTTGAGGGAGGGCAAAACATTTCATGTCTCCGCTTGGTTTTTGAAAATGTCCGAAAAATAATGGAGGTGTAGAACGGTGGTGATACATCAGCAAGAAAGACTTTTGAATTATATATGCATTCAAAAAGATCCTGAAAATTGTTGAAATTTTAACTCTATTTGGACGCATCTCGAGGCTTCTGTAACGATTTTTCATAATTTTTTGCAGAAAAATACGCTTTTTTACTTAAACAAATACTTTCAAATTGTTACATTCAATAAAGCTGGAAATTTTTTTGAAATTTCAACTCTATTAGGACGCATTTTGAGGCTTCTCTGACGAAAATTTTAGGAATGAACATGGTGTTCTCATTTGAGACTCTACATTAAAAGAGATAAATATCTTCGACGGTCTCAAACTTCTTCTTTTCTCGCACTTTCTCATCTTCTGTCTCGTCTTCCCTTCTCTCTTTTCCTCCTTTTTTTGCTTTCGGCTACGTGCCTATTGTATAGCTCTTCTTAATGATTATTTTGCATCAAAATGACGATTTGGAAATTGCGTAACTGTAACTGTCCATTGGAGCGATAGAATATGCTAGGAGCTGGTGCATTATTAGGGGAAAGAAAGATACTTGCAGGTTGATCCTTGATCAAATTAATTCAACTCAAGTAAAACCAGAGAGTCTGCGCAACAACCAAATACCTCAGATAATGAATAAAAAGTCATCTGAAAATTTCAGGTGACAACTTTTAAAAGTACAAGTATGGATTTTAAGTACCCATATTTTCCTCGTGGTTATGTATGGTGGGACCAACGATTTTATTGTGGAATACATAATACAAAGAAAAAATTATCTTAAAAAAAAAAATTATCTTTCGAGATACGAAACAAATGATCATCATCACTCAGAATGTGGTGTGATAAGTCTGTGAGTAAATAAAAATCTATACAGGCTATCGCACTTACCTGAAATCTAGAGTTGTATGAATTGGACCTTAACTTCACTTACCTGCAATAAAAGAAAAAAACAGTATTAGTTTATATCATCTAAGAAATATATCCGGGAGCAGAATAATTATAAAATAATGTCTTCGCATACTATGATATCAACCACAGCGACGATTGTGTATTCGAACTGTATTTGTATACTCTTCTATATTCGAACGTGGATGAGATAATTTGGTTCACATACAGTTGGACTGACAAATATCATTCCGAAAATTGAATCCGATATTTTTAAAAATATGATTTTACTGAGCATAATTTATGTGGCATATCACGAAATTCGCCAAAATTAGGACCTCGTAAATCTTCTTTGGTCTCTTCTATAACCTGGCTGAATAACTAGCTGCCCAAATAATAGTGGTAGTCACTAACCACACGCTGCTTTTTATAATCAGTAGCTCAACTCCGCATCCTTTCCCGATTTTTACGCAAGGCTCCACAACACAACCGAGAAATTTTTCGTCAAAACATTTTCGTACAATCAATTCCGAAACTCTTCACCAATCACGCTCCTGCAAATCACTCTATATTCTTGGCAACCCTGCAGCGATTTCGTCCCCTACGCCTCACCTAAGTTTCAGCCGACAGGGTCAATCTGTCAATACATTTTTGGATGCAACGAATTAGCAAGAATAGCTGCACACGTGCGTTGCTGCAATTAACGAAGCCAAAACGCCTACAATTTTCCGCGTATGCAACACGGACATCCCTCGAACACGAATAGTTGTATTCAGGCGTTAACCATTAAAAAGGCCAGAGCTCTTTCGTTTTTTTGCATGACCACATACAGTTACGAAGTTTGTAACGCCATTGCATTATCATGTGATTGTTGCATGAAAAACGGTTATTCAAATATTAAATCAACGTGAGAAATATTATAAATGTATGAATAAAATAGAGGTTACACTGAAAAAAAAAAAAAAAAAAAAAAAAAATGTCTTAAATTGTCTAAAAAAAAAAAAAAAAAAAAAAAAGATCGGTATAGAATTTTCCATTCCTTCGCGCTCTTTTTTACACAGCGTGAATTCAAAGTCGATTTTGTCAGAGAGATGGTTACCCGTGCCAGTACATATAAACGTTTACTTTTTTTCTGGCAGAATTGACTCTGAATTAACGCTGTGTGAAATACAACGTGAAGGAATGGTACGTTCTACCAATCTTTTTTTTCAGTGTAGTTTTTGCGGTTAATACCAAATTTATTATATTATTGATTTTGCAGTTACCTATTGTTCCTCGTTTCCCCATTTACTTCATACCGAAACATTTATTTATGATAGTATAATCATTTTCAAGCATACATATGTAATCATCGCAATCATTATATTTGTTATTTCTTTTAAAAAATATTCTTCATTTTTGTTTGAAGGAGTGAAGAAGAAGACTATGAAGATACGGACGAAGCCGAGTACTAACGACATGCTGTGACACAAGTCATCCACTAATGCTCAACCGAATACATCCACCGTGAAATTCTGCCATAAACCTACACACACACACACACCCTCTCTACCGTGAAATTAATTCAACACAGTAACCCAGCTTACCCTCAGCTTAAAAACCAATTCCACGCTTCCTTTAGACTTAAGCATTGCAATTCGCTGCACATCCACATTCATGCATTACGTTGAAACTCTCCAAAAATATCAATTCAAAACGCTTCTACTCACATTTCAGTTGGATGATTTTTATTATGACAAGCCTTTTAGAAATGAATATTTGTACTGAACCGTTTTTAAGATACTTATTTGCATAGTTTTCATTAAATCTATTTTGATACAAAAATATGTGTCAGCGTTATTTGAGCCACCTTCAGCGTTAAATCAATTGGTAGAGACGGTTTAAAATCCGTGATCTCTCAGGAGATCTGAAAAATTTACCTACTTAATGGAAAATATGAGCGTTAAATCGATCAGTAGATACGGTTTAAAGTCCGTGAGATCTAAACAATTTACCTATTTAATGGAAAATATAAAGGGAAAAACCATCTTCAATTGCTCATGAGTACGTTAAGCTTGTTTTCGAACATGAACACCTACATTATGCACGGAAAGATTCATATAGATCAGATAAAGTGACGTCATGTCTCTACATTACTGAAATTTTCTTCACAGAAGGGAAAACCTCATATCGGCATGCAAACTTTTTCCCTAAGGAGTTTTCCCATTTGACGCAATGATGTAGTTAAGTCCAATGAGAGAGCAACTGTAGATGCGTTCCGATAAATACAACAGACATATTCCATATATTCATTCATATTTTTTATATGCACTCGACAAGGGTAAATAAGTCTGGTGAAAAACCTCTCCACTGTCTGGCCATATGCGTTTCCCGGAAAATTTAATGGGCAGGACCAGAATCTTGGTAAAATCTTTAGAAGACCCAGCAGCCAGTGTAAGATCTCTAATACACTGGCTCATAGATTTTCGGGGAGTCATAAATGGATAGATGATAAATAGCCACCATCAGACTGGTTCTTCTGTGAAAAGCAACTTTAAATGGGCAAATATGTCTCGGTGCTTTAATCCTTCGTCAATATTACTAAATAAAGAAAAGATAATTAATATCAAAGAATATTTCAAAAATATTTTCGTCGTGTATAAGAAGAGCTACTCAACATATCAAGTTATCGAATATCAGTAAATCAATTTATTTCTTGTCAGAGAAAAAGAATCTTGATGCAATTGAAATAATACCACACGTTGGCATGACCTCTCAACAGCTAATGGAGATGTTGCATGTGTGAGGGATTTGCGATTTGACCATTGATCCTTATGTAAAAGTTCGCGAGAAAAACGATGGTGCCACTGGTTTTCTCTGAAATCATCTCCCAAGCTCAAAAAAAGCTACCAAAGTGAAGCCAAAATGGAGGGGATATCCCACCCTACCCCGAGAGTCCACCTCAACATCAAAACAAACTCTCCATGCAAAGATAGGGAGCAAATGCAGTAGCAGGGTTGCCACTTTATTTGGGGGCTCCAAAACTGAAAACACGGCAACCCTGCTGATGTATTTGCTCCCTATCTTTGCATGGAGAGTTTGTTTTAATGTAGAGGTGGACTCTCAGGGTAGGTTATGATATCCTCTCCATTTTGGCCTCACTTTGAGAGCTTTTTTTGAGCTTGGGAGATGATTTCAGAGAAAACCAGTTGCACCATCGTGTTTCTCGCGAACTTTTACATAAGAATACTCAATGGTCAAATCGCAAATCCCCCACACATGCAACATCTCCATTGGCACTCCAGAATCATTAATTTGAGAATGATTGGGGTGTTTTTATTTGAAATTCGGATGTTTATATATGATTTGCTCTTTTAAAGAATTGGCTAAACTCGGTATGCTAGTGATCATCCTCAATTTCCTATGTTATCATCCGAATAAAAGTATAAGTAATACCAGAAAATGACAGCCATTTTGTGATTTGCTGGGTAATCCAATCATTTGCATCGTTTGATGTTCTCATTTTTGTACTTCCCTCTGGCACTGCTAATTTGTTTGAAAATTTAAAAAAAAAACTAGGAAAAATAGCACTGCCTTTCCATTATGAGTGATATAATAAAACTAGTGCCTTTTCATTTTCTTGAGTATGCACTGATATCAATGGGCTTAGCAATGAATCATTTTCACCGCTTGAAAACATGTTTTCATGTAAGAATGAATTACTAAAGGTTTCGAATTCACCTCTCATATAGTAAGAGCTTATGAAGCACTGGCAAAATTTGGCAATGACCAGGTCGGCGAGTATGTCTGCTTCCAATCTGAAGTAAACTATGAGGACGGGTGGGCAGGCGGACGGTTTAAGACTAAGTATGCTTCGAGTACCTTCATACTTACACAGAAGAGTAGACATTGAAAAATCAAATTTCTGATATGTTCAACTACTTAGGCTACATCGAGCTGTCCAGGACTCAAAAATGGTGAATATTGCATACAAATTAAGATTAAAAAGACTGAGAATTTGGCTTTCATTCACTTAAACCATGCATTGTGAATGAAATAAGTTTAATGAGCCATAACCTTGCAAATATTTGCAAGTTATTGCTAGTTGTTTGCCAATATTTGCAAGGTTATGGCTCTTTGAATTTATTTCATTTCTTTTGTATTTCGCCTTCCTCATTACAAGTATGTTTGAATCGTGAATTTTTCTTGGATAACACGATGGAACGCTTTTTACTTGTTCAAAAACAATTTTTACGTGATTCAAGAGAATATTTTCCTGCTAGCATCCCTTTGGTGGCAATGTTAGTATCAAAGCCAAAAGGTGAAAGCTGTCAATAGTTGGTAATAACTCTCCTTACATCTACAGCCGTCGCCATTTTTGGCCCCTACAGCTTTCATATTGGAAAGCATCTATACTTTCTTGATAAAAATGCTCTAGGTTTGACCAGTCATTGCACTTTTCCGTAATTTTCCTCCAGTTTTGCCAATTTTGAGAAATGTTTTTCTACTTCCACCGTCGAAATCAGGTGTGTTTTCCACTTCAATATTTAGAGGAAGCAGAACTAATCCGAATGAAATGAGGAGGGTACACGCATTGCTTTTTTCCCCTTCAATTTTTGAGGTAGACCATCCATCTTGATTTAGTCTTGAGTTATCCTTCTATTTACATCAGTACCCATCTTCAAAAAGATCATTCATATGAAATATTTAAATGCAAGAGCTCTTTCCAACATCTTATGTGAATATTATCGTCCTCCCAAAGCTTTTCATGACAAAGGCTCCTCATTACACTCATTTGGAAAACCTAACCTAATAGGGAATATATAAAATCGTAGTATACCTTTAACGAAAGAACGTAACTACGTTCCGATGTTGCCTAATTCCCTCTCGTAAGTTGCAATTTTGAGCGGAGAATCTCGGGCATTTCAAACTGAAAATTTCACTGATTTTTCTCCTGATCTCGCTTAAAAATTAGGAAAGTTGCGGACAAAAGTTGCATAGGTAGATTCTATGTGACTGGTCGATTTGTTTGGGTCAATTCTGCAGCCTTGGAATGGGGTTACGTTCCTTCGTCCGAGAAACGAAGATATGTGCGTCCGAAACGACCCTATCTCTCAACCGCGCTCAGATCGTAAAACTCCTCCAGATTCACATCCAAGAGTCCGTTGCGTCATAGATCCAGAGGAAAACCACTTAAAAGCAATCAAAACTCCACGTAGGTTCGTGTTTATTGCCAGACCCGACGGAGAAACCGACCGACGGCGCCTTGCGATTTCCGCGGAGGTCGCTAGATGGCGACACCGGCGCCCTCGGCGGACGGGGGTGTAAAAGGTCAGGCGCGTTTCCACGACGACCATCGTGTCAACCGAGCTTTTAAGGTCTCCGGAACTTTCAGTCAGGTTCCGCTCGCGGTTCCGAAAGCTCGCGGACCAAAGCTCTGAAAGTTGTACTTTCGACTCGTTGCCGATATAATCCGCCTTTGGCGCGGGGAACCTCACCAATATAGAGGAGGAAAACCATTGCGGTGTTTTGGGGTTGTCCGGTTTCGTCCTCGTGGTGGTGTTTGTAATGCAGTGTTCTAAAGGGTGTTGTGCTCACCGAATCTAAGAGGATCGAGCCGCTTGTGTTCTGCCGCAGCAACAGGAACACTCAGGAACACGCGCTTCATTCGCACCTGACGAGTTATAGCAGTATCGCGCCGAGACCATTCGCAGTTCTGTCAAGTATTGAAACGACTTTGTCACAGTATTGATCTTCCAAGGTATGATTTGTCCTCTAATATTGTGTTGCATAAATATGTTTGAAATATTTTTAACCCTCTATGGCATAATATTCCTCATTCGTGCGAACGGCCTCTTGCATGGTTTTTTAAAAAATGGAATATTTCCTCTGTGGCAAATTACGAAAGTTACAAAATAGATTTAAGTCCCCTAGAATCCAAGATTCAAAATTAATTCGTACCATAAAGGGTTAAGTGAGGGGCTTGGAGGGCAATTAAGGCGTATAGATGGAGTTTTTGCTTTTTCCAGTAATACGTGTCTGAAGTTTCAAAATTGCATGGATCCTTATGGCGGAAAGAAAGTTCAAACTAACTTTTTGATGCTTAATATTTGAAATTTGGGAGCGAAGTTTTCTCAGAATATACATTGTGACAAGATTTATATGAAATCATTAGTATCTCAATTTTTTCAAAAACTGCACTTATGTGCTTTGTCTTCTAAGCTCCTCAAATGTGTTTTTAAATCTAAAACATGTTCTCAAATGTTTTAAAAACACTGAGAAACGTGGACCAAGCTGTACGTAACATAGTGGTAAAATAGCGCGAGATTCACATTTTGAGAGGAAAACAAGGTCAAACAAGTTGGTTTTTGCAATCGCTAGCGATAGCAATATTCGTCATGGGAACTTTTGCTTCTGGGATATGAAAATGTTAAGGTACAGTTCGTTTGTAGTATCTTCAGAATTGAAGGGGCTATGTAATTTTGTGTCGACATCTCTTTTTTAACATTTTTAATTTTTTTTCTTTGCATACAAGAAAGCTGTTATTTACCAATTATTTATTTTCGTTGGATTATGTATGGTTTT